AACTTCCGACCCCTCCCCGGCCCATCCAACCCGTCAACAACCCTTCGGAAGGCCGTGTACGGAGGGCCCAAAGTCCGTACGTACGGGCCGTACGGCCGCTGAGGGCCCGTACGTACGCTTGTACGGGAGTACGGACAGGCCGTCCCCGTACAGGGTGACAACACTGGACTTGGGCGGGTGAGTCGTTCGGGGGTTGGTCTACTGATCCTGCTTTGAGGTTCGCCATGGGCATAGCGCCCRGTGTTCGGGGTGGTAGGGGCACAGGGAAGCATTCGGCCCGGCATTAGGACCACTGGTCATCCTGCATTGCCCACTTCTTCCAACTAAGCTTCCCGTTGTCGTGCACTTCCACCAACTTGCAATCAGGGTGAAGCCAGATTCCCGAAAGGCAGCTATGGCCTTTCTCCTGCTCTCCCCGTCCTAGGTCGCTGCCAGTACCTCGGTGAGTTTCTTKCTGGCTTTACTCAGGTTTGCCTGTATGACTTCCAGTAGCTGTGCTTTGGCTCGGTGGCACCGTGGCAGCCAAAGGCAGCATCTTGTCGTTCAGCGGAGCACCTAACACGCCAGATTACCATGACGGCTGCCAATCTCATGYGGSTGAAACAGTTAAGTTGGAAGGGTGTGCAGGCGTCCTATTTTTCAGGAGAGGCTCAATCTCCTTTTTCGGATGTACTCGTGGTCTAACAGACTAACACTGACTAAGAGCGCCCCAGTTCAACCCACTGAGCTTGTACCGCAGTTGGTCAGTCTAGTATGGGCTGCACTAGGCTGGGGGATAAGTCCGTGGGGTGCCAACCTAGCACCAAGTGAACGCGCTCAGGGGAGGTTGAGGGTCGACGGAGTTGAACCCGCAACCTCCGCCTTGCAACGCCAGAGCGCTAATCTGCTGAGCTACTATGTTTGTCCCGATCTTACGACCGTCTCATATGCGGATACAAGGAAAGTGAAATTGCAGCAACATTGCACAGCCAACGCCATGCCATACACCAGAGCTTGGCCACACGTCGTCTTACCAACCGCTGCCTGCATTCTCCCTGTCTGAAAAGGAGGAGGGAAAAGAGAYTGCACTCTCCAAGCGTACTCCCAGTAGGACTTTCCTGGGCGTGCACCCCTGRCTGCGATTCCGTCCAGCATTAAGTCAAAGGAGGTCTAGCTTGCGCATTGCCTCACACACCGCACGTGCAGTCGGAGCGGGCCACTGTCGTTGTGCCCGTCCTACACACAATAMATGGCAGCTCAGGTGCGTCAACCGGGAGTATCTGTGTGGAGGAATTGAGTATATTTCCGTTGGCTTTCAGTGTGGTCGAGGACAGGTTAGCAGAGGC